ACAAACTCCCAAAGCATCTCTTTTCACAGGGAACAGAGCGAACAAGGCAACCTCTTCCACTAGCATAGCTGTCTGTGGAAAAGCACATCCCTGCAAGATCACCCCATCTGCCAGGGGACACCTGGACCACCTCATGAGAGCAGGGCTTGCTCTATCTCAGGGGGTCACCCCTTCCTCACCCTCCAACGTACATCTGCTTACATTTTCTTCTAAGCCTGTTTCCTTCCAGACTAGTGTTCCAAAACCAAAACAGAGTGCTGAAGCAGCAGGGAAACATAGCAGGTGTTTTTCTCAATTGCACCTTTTCATCCCAAAAGCTATTGAAACATTGCTACGTATCAGGCCAAGTGAAATGGTTGGTAGGGTTGGGGAAAGCAGGAGGTTGCCTAAATTACCTTTTAAAAACAACGTGACTTTTTGTGCCTGGGTTTTTCTTCTTATCTGAATAGAATAATTGTTCTTCAATAAATGCTGGCATATAACAACACTCATTAAAGTGCTTATGACTTCTGACATTCCTGAATATCTGTAATTTTATTAAGAACTAATAAATTCTGATATTGTTGATTATCTGTAACTCTATATTAGAATGTTCATTTTTTCTACGTGGGTGCACTCTAATTTAGTATCTAATTAAAAATGGAGTTTCTGTTACATTTTTAGGATTTAGAACCCTGGATCACAGTTGCTAATCTCACTTGTTTATTCACAACAAAACTACCAAGAGGCAAAGTGAAAAGGTTGTGGTTTTTTTTTTTTTTTTTTTTTACATAGACTGAAGGGTTACATGTTACTTGCTAAGAGATAATGCTGTCATCGAGTTTCTTCAGCAAAAAAGCTGACAAGTCTTGTTTCACATCTGTCTGCATAATATAACAAGCCCACGAAGAAATAGTGATGAAAAAGCTGTTCTGTTGACAATCTATTATTGTTAAACACACCCAAACACCAAGATTTAGGCACTGCTCATTAGTGCTGTATTGTAGCTCAGGATTTTGTCCCTATAAATACTTTGCGTCAAAATATTTTTCAAATATATTCTAGGCTGCAAGCCTCTTCCCTACAACCCTAAAGAGCTATAGCCTCTGAAGCCTTGTATGATCTCAATCACACTTGCCCATACCTTACCCATCAAAACCATGCGATAACATTGCCAGCCACTCCATGTGTAGTCCAACTACCCCTTTCTACAAATGCCACTTTACCTGTTTGTTTTGTGCCCTGTTCATCTAACCAATACAACTCAGATCCCTTAGTCGTTCTTACTGCCAGGCATTACATGGATGGCTTTCAGTTTCCATCTGTGACTCCAGAGATTTTTTTCTTACAAATTCTCTCATAGTTGCTAAGATCATGACTGTAGTAACAGGAAGAAGAAAGGGAGTAGCAACTCCCCTCCTACATTTAACTGAGCCACTGAGAACTTCCGTTTGGGTCTGCAAAAGTGAGAAGGGAAGTCTGGTCCTGAGGAAAGCAGTGCGCATGCTGTCCTTGCAGGTCCCTTGCACAGCCACAGCCACAGTCACTCAGGCAACTGCCCCGACGCTATGGCACAGGAAGAAGTTAAGGTAGCCCCTTCTAATAGCCCTAATGACTTCACTGGAAGTTCGCTTAAATAATCGCTGGATAACTAACCAATAAGAGCAGGGCTTTGCCCCTAATTAGAAGTCTCACCTAGCAGACTCTGCTTGAAATAAATGCTTAAGCAACACTAATATGAATATCAAATACACTGCCATTTTTCACTTAGTCCACCACCGCTCTCTCCTCTGCAATTAACTTTGATCACGCTGCCTTGTGGGATCACATCTTCAGTAAAGCTGCTGCATTAGTCTTGGATATCATTAACTCTTCAGATTACCTTTTCTAACAGCAAGTTTAAATGGTGCTTCTGGTTCCTGCACCTTCAAATTTTCCTGAAGCTTTCCATTATTCCAACTTCTGTTACATCAGCACTGCACTTATTCTGATTTAAAGTTTCTCCATTTAGGTGCCCATACTTCACTTACCTATGAATATCAGTTATTTCATATTGTCACTTCCATAACTACCAGAATCTCCAAAAAGGACTAAAAACTTCATGTACCAGATTTGATGCAACTTTAAAAAAGGAAAAAATCCTTGTCTTACAATCAAGAGATAAAGTAAATAACTTAATTGACTTAGGTGGTATTTCAAGTATTGTGTACCTTAGCGAATGCCTGAAAGACCACAGGGAATCTAACCCAACCTCCTCTCTCCATGGCAGTGCAGCTCTCCTTGCTTGAAGAAGACAGGGAGTTGCCTGTTTCACTTTCAGAATAACTCTTTATTTTAATGACAACTTCAGGTTACCATGGTTGCTAGCAGTGGTCAACAGGGTCTTGCTGTTCAAAATCTGGATTGTTAGAGGAACTCGGGCACTTGTCAATAAATGCCAATTCAGGCACGTTAATAAGTAACAGCAATAGAAGCAGCACTACGAAGTTCCTGCAGAAGAAAACAGTAGGAAAGATCCTTTTCTCCACATCTGCATTGCAGGCTAGCAGAGACAACTCTACCACAGCTTTTCTGGTGAGCCTTCAGCAGTAGTTGCAAACAATGATTTATAAAGACCAGCAGTTTCAGCAGTCTGAGCTCTGGTCTCACCCTAGCTCCTCCTGGTACAGTATTCTGATGAGAACTCAGTTTTCAGACAGGTGAATAATATGGGCCAGTGCGCCAACAATTCCCCTACAAGACAGACATGGGCATGCTGGAACGAGCCTGTGAAGGGCTACAAAGATGATTAAGGGACTGGAGTGTCTATCACACCAGGAGAGGCTGAGAGAGCTGGGGTGGGTTGGTCTGGAGAAAGAAGGCTCAAGGGGATCTTATCCATGTGTATAAACACCTGGTGGTAAGATGTAAAGAAGATGGATAAAGACTGTTCTCAATGGTGCCCAGTGAAAGAATAAGAGGCAATGTGCATACAAACGGAAATAAAAGACATTATCTTTAAACATAAGAAAAATATTTTTTTACTGTGAGGGTCGTTGAGCACCGTGACAATCTTGCCCACAGATGTTGTGGAGTCTGTATTCTTGGAGATAATCAAAACCTGACTGGGCACAGCCCCGGGCACCCTGCTGTAGCCTATTCTGCCCGAGCTGGGGGTTGGACAGGATGACCTCCAGAGGTGCCTCCAACCTAGATCTGCACTAGCCCCAGGGAAAGCAAACTCTCAGGATGTATGTCAACAACTACACCAGTATGTAGTTTTCTTTCTGCCTCCCATGAGACATACTCTTCAGCAAAGTCCCTGAGCATGTCATATACCTGCTCCCAGCCTGTGGTCTGATCTGCCTCAGGACCGTCTATCCGACGTGGCCAGCCACACAAGTCATCCTCTGCTGTTTGCTGTACGAGTTTTCTTTGACCTCTCCCCCAAAAAGATCTAAACTGTTTACTAGCATACGTGCTTTTATAAACTAAAGGAAATTTAAATCAATATGAATTTCACACTAAATTACAAGGGGAACAATCACCTGGTTCTCAAGCATTTTGCAAAAAGGAGAACACTTGCATATTCCATGTTTACATTTTTAATAATTCAGGTCATAAACATTTTAATAAAACAAATAACTTTAGTTACTTTAGGAAAATTTCATTAAAGAGTGAAGTTTGAATATACTACACTGTTAAAACAACAGAGAACAGATGAGTTCTAGCAAGGTCATGATGAAAAGGAGCGCATAGAATGTCTGTTATATAAAGAATATCCATCATGGTGAATTGAATTAGATGCATCTCATTTTCACTTTGTCAAACTTAGTTCGTATTCTGGCTGAAGACCAGCATGCCACCCAGGATAGCAACTATCCACAAGGCAGCTATTATATCTTCATTTGACAGGTCTGGGGTCAGGTAGGTCAAATCAATACTTTAGAGACCTGTCCATCGTCAAACATGGACAATAAAGAATCACATGATATATGAATCTGGCACACAGCGAAAGGAACTCATTTAAACAGAGGAATAATGATAAGAATAGAAAAAAGGATTTCAGTCAAAATAAAGGGAGGAATTTTATTTCAGGAATATATTAGAAATATCATATGGACTAACTCAGTTTGATATAAGAAAGCAGAATTCTACTTATCACCACTTTAAGTAGGACCCCATTTTAATCAGTACGTCAAAACACAGATGAGAAAATAGCTACTCAGTTGTTTATATGGTTTTGTGCAAAAGGCTGAAAAAAACTGGTTTTGGATACTTGCAAAGTTACACAGACAATGAAGGCAAAATAATAATTACAGAAGTCATATTGCACAGTGGAATGGAAAGGGATTAGGAATATATTGGTAGGCAATACTTTATTACCCACTCACTTCTGGTACCTGGCAAAATGAGACAGAAAAATACTGTTGACTAGTAGATTACTACACGGACTCAGAAACATACAACGTACGACCTCTTGCTAAGTAGGTTACTTTCCCTGTCAGTTCAATCTTCCTAATTTCATTCTTGGAATAGGTTGTGCCACACTCTTCACTAAAGACAAACCCTAGACTAGAGAAGTTGAACTCATAAATTATACCAAAGCTTAAAAATATGGAACAATCACTCAAAAAAAAATTATTAATGACTCAAGATGTCTCTTTTGGCTGTGTTTTGTTCTAGGACAAACCTCACCAAAAGCCTGTTTTACAGCTTCAGTCAACATTTCCACTGTTTAGTGCTGAAGACAAAACTGGACTCTGAATTACTTCCAGTGCAAAGGGAGGACTTATGTCTGCTCTACCTTTTGCTTTATAACTATCATTTCCAGATTTTGTACAGAGCAAAAGGTAGAAGTAGTCTTCTGTGGAATTTTATAAGATCTTGATACAGGTTTCCCATAGTTTGGCACTGCTTGGCTATTGAGATTTGGTTCGGACTTACTTCTACCAAATAGATTCACTGACATGTGAAAACCACTTTTTCTTATTACTTCAAAGATTTATTTTTTTCTATTGGCATAGAACAAAGATTCTTACCAGTAACCTTCAACTCAACCGTCCTTCGTATAAGCTTGCCTTCAAACTTCAGTTCACAAGTATAATTTCCTCCATCTTCTTCCTGGACCTCTTGTATTAAGAGAGTATTTCCCTTCTGAATTACAACACTTCTCCACATTTTTGGCTGACATTCCTGCAGGAAAAAAATCCATTGCCAAAATTACTCAGCTTGTATGACATAAGACAGTGTTGCATGATCAGATTTTCAGTATTATCCATAAGTAAACAACCATCTCAATATATTTTGCAATTCAAATTCAAATACAATTTCAGAAAGTATGGAGATCTGAAACTGGAATTAATCTGAAGACAGAAATTAACCAGAAATGCTTTTAAGGTTCAGTAATTCCCACTGTATCACATAGGCCGTGTTTAATACATGGTGCCCTGAAGCAATGGTTAAGTATCTTCTCTTTTCCATGATGAACAACTGCCAAGACCTCTACTTCAGGATGGACCATTAAAATGCATCTCCTTTTGAAGGGAGTAAGGGCAACACCTGTTAAGAGTTAGCCTGAAGGCAAACTTTATGCACAGTCTCAGGCTAGAACCATTTACCAACAGAAGGAAACAGGAAGAACATCAGTTTTGTGAGCAAGAGAATTCAGGAAGACTGGTTTCCTTATGATCTTGTTTCTTATCACCAGCTTCCCTGGCACTTTGATTCAGCCTTTTCCCATCACTGGGCTCTTTGTAGCATCACCCCCGTGTGCGTCCTCTGATGAAGTGGATGGTGCTGATGGCCTGCAACTCTCACTGACTTCCCCGGGCAGACCTTAGCTGTTATTTGGTAGATTTAGGTTCATCACTATGAACTGTGGAGCTACTGGAACAGCATTTGAGTCCTTCTGTATAGTGTGTGATACAGTACAAGAGGCGGCTTTCCCCTTCCTAACAGCCAGCTCAGTCACCTTCCACACTAACAGCACTTGTGATTGAATACCTTTTGGAATGCTCTGAACTAAAAGCATAAGCACAATCAGATCCTTGTCTCTTTAAAATGGTACCTCAAGATGATATATTTATTGTCTCTCAATAACTTTAACATCAAGCCTGTTTCTGCCTGCAAACAAAATCACTTTTCTCAGCTCTCTAAAACAGGCAGTATTCCCAACAGCTCTGGAAGCTCTGGCTAATTTTGTAGCCAGAGCACACAAAGTAACGGGCCCAAGTACCTTTAATGCCCCCTACTCCCTCTTTCAAGGTGGCAACATGGAATAAGCTCTCAGACCGCAACTAACAATCTCACAACCATTACATCAGGCTCAGCAACTTCAGAGATCCATGTAAACAGGACAGTCCTATGCCCCATTTTCTGCCCATCTGCAACAGCAGTGTCAGAAGTACAGCAAACAGAACAAAGCTTTCGCCTAAGAAAACAACCAATCAAGAAAATACATTGGCATGCAAATATATTGCATGACAGCAAGAGATCAGAATGACACAAACATAACTTTTTCATGGGACTTCAAACCCTCAAAATCCACTATGTCAGTTTCTAAATTAAAGGACAATAATAAAGAAATTAAAAGATGGGACTGTGAGCTTTTGGCCCTGCATTTGACAACGGAGCACTGAAGCATTTATCCCTATCCCTAACAGGCCAAATTCAGTTACAACGTAGTCAGATTTAGGACACTGAAGCTGTGCAATTCTACTGCAGGTAACTGAGTGTTCAGGGTATTTTTCTGTTTCCAAAGCACAGCTGTAAGGGAAGTGTGATCTTGTCTCGCACGTGAACTTGAGTTAACACCAATGATAGAGAATGACCAGAATCCAGATCCCATCTGCTGTGCTAAGACGAATCAGAGCCTATTTTTGTTACTAAACTACACTGACATCCTTGAGACTCATGCAGGACACAGATCTGAGCTAGAAAACACCATTATATCATTTCTGTTTTGCACTCAATTTTTTAGCCCTACTGGGCAAAGAATATGATTCAGTTCTACTCAATCCTAATTTAGAAGTAATACAATTCCCAGAGTACACAAAGTAAGCATATTTCAGATATGCACCATTCCAATGCAGCACTGAAAGACCCTATCGTACATTACCAGTTTTATATTCTCTACTTATTTTTAAAAGTATGAGAGAAAAAGTGATTGAAGATACATTTTCATACACTTTATAGTTTTATATACTACATGTTTGTAATAAGAAGGGTGACATCTTTACTACTACAGAGATCAATGATTTAGCCCAAACAATGTTTGTGCTATTGTGGTTTTACAGTGAGGAATTGCTCTACTGGAATTGTACCACTGATTTCCTAATTGTTTCCTTTTGTATATACTTAAAACACTTCATATTAAAAATTATTTATAAGCCTTTCTTTCCCAAATTTTAGCTAATTAATTTTATTTCTACTGACTAGGCAGGCTTTCCAAACATATGTTGAAAACGCCTGTTTTATTCTGCCTGTTATTCACAGACTAATTCAATCCACAAAACTAAAGGCAAAAAAGGGGAGAAGCAGGAAAATCCTAACAATTTGTACTTTAAGCAAGAAAAAATGGCTGAGACACAAACCAACAAAAAAAATAATCTAACTATTCTTCATATTGTGGAAACAATCTAGATTTTACTGTCAGAAGTCTGCCATTTTCTCTAAAAAGCTAAGTGCTCAATTGGACGACTATTGCTTGTTTAACGAATTAATTGCTCTTTTCTGCTTTTCCTCCATGTTTACCTCCTGGAAGAATCTGAAAGTTTATTTTTCTAGTCTATTTATTTTCCTTAGACATCTTAAATGGTTTGGGTTTTTTCCCCCCAATAATTAAGTTGTGCACTTTTTCTCTGCTTCTTTTTCTCTTCCTTGAAATTTAAGTATCAGCACCTCAACAACTCTGCTTTTGTAGGGTACTGTTATGGTTATAACAACTACCTGTCCTTCACCTGACATTTGGATTGTTTTCACAGCCCTTCCTTCAACCCAGTAGTAGAAAAGAGATGGCGGAAATGGATTAAGAATCTGCATTCTAGATGTAACATACCTTTTTCCTCTGCCATTTGATTTTTCATGAAACTGGCTCCTATTCTTAAATCCCATTCATTCAACCATTCACTGACACATACATTTATTTCAAAAAGATCCTTATACTTCTTGTCAAAACAGTCTTAAGGGGCGTAACAGTGCTGTGTGTATATCAATGGGATTAATTGTGGAAGTCTTTAAAAATAAATATTTCATGCAGTGTAATTCTAGCCAGCAGTGAAGTTCATACTCCTGTTAAAACAAATCCTCACAGCAAATGTTTTATTACTTATTGGGTGAGCATGTGGAAATCTATTCAGGCATAATTATTTTAAGAGTGCGTTTAAATTACTGTTAACTCCCTGTAAATTGATGCAATTATTGACTCAGATTCATTAATCTCTCCACTTAGAGAAGCCTTCTGGAAGGCAGGGCGAGTCCTGCGCACAGTGGGTTTGCACAGTTACTGTCCTGTCTGATGGTATTTCATTGGTCACAAGTCCAAACTCCCTGACTACCTGTGAACTGGCAGGTTCTTGTGAACACAAGGATTTCTCTTTTCAGCCAAAGGTATAAAGAAGGAACCTCGAGGACTTCCTCATACTTATTTATCTACTGTTCTATTCTGGGCAATTTACACTCTCCTCCTAGATAAAAATCTTCTATAAATATTTCAGCATTACAAGAAGGAACTGCCCCCCAGTTCCTCTGGAGCACTTTTACACAAGAAGATGGATGATTACACCTTTATGTACGCGTCAAACTCAATCACAAAGGTAGAGGGGGAAAACTTGAGGATCCAGTGTGCTATGACACACAAAATAACTATTTTAAAATAACATTATTAAGGTTGGCAAATCGAGCACTCAAAATTTAGGATTTAACTAGTTTGTGCGTTTCTGTTCTCATTACCTGAACTAAGTTTGTCCTAAACTCATTCTGCCTTTATCCCTACAATCCAAACCCTATTTTCCACAGAACCCACTGAGCTCTTCCTCTTGCCCAAACATTTTGTGTTCCCTCTGACTCTCAACAATTCATTCTTCTCTATTGTTTCCTACAGCAACTTGTACCCAAGGGCTTTTCAAATATCAGACTTTGGTCCAAGTCCAGACAAAGGGTAAAACTTCCAAGACCTTGCTCTGGTCTTAGTACCTGATGTCTGCCTGACTACTCATATTTTAATCATTCTCCTGTTTTCTTGGGGAGCTACAGAAACACATCACTGCTGCTGAAAGTGGTGGGCAATACTTGACAGGCCTTGGAGAAGGTACAGACAGCCAAGTTACCTGTCGAGTTGTAAAAGTACCTAACAGACCTCAGTTAAAATCACTCAATGAACCTCAGCAAAAGTAAATATATCTCTGTGAAGTTACCCAGCAGATTGGTAAAATTTAACAAGCCTTGGTGAAATTACCCAACAGACTTCATAAAAATTAATTGAGTAGCACTACTGAAGCTGGTGGTGCTGATATACCTTTGGGTCTACTGTAGGTTGCCTTCACCAAGGTGGAAACTGGTACAGAGGCACAATGGTTTGGGAACGTGAATTGCTGCTAGAGAAATCATATGACCTCCAGCCAGAACATCCTCGTTGATGCTGATTTCTCTTAGACAATGACTATGCTGGTTAGTTTTGCTTGTACTTTAGTACTACTTCTGTAATACCATGAGAGAATCCTTCAGACCCATCACAAACCACTGCAGGCTCACAAAAGGCCATCTCTACGCCTCAGACTGAAAACAGTGGAAGTTTTGTGTAGTTTCAGCACAATAGCAAGAAGACAGCAATGGTTACCTTGTACCACACCACATCTGGCTCTTGACTGGCTGTTTTGTAATCCTCAATATCAGGACAAGAGATAGTCTTTCTTTTAGTGACTTCTGATTTTTCCAGATATCTGATCTTGCTGTTGTAGCAAAGCCCAGATTCATTCTCAGCTACCGTCAAGGACATGGACACCTTCATACAATACGTTGAGTTTCTGCAGGACAGAAAGAAATATGTTTCCATTTAACTTACCTCCTTTTTACCATGTTTGTTTCAGCACAGTCAGTTTCTTTGTTAAGCTCTCATCTTGACAAACACATCAGCAACGCATTCAAATAGTGACTGTCATGTTGTGTACTTCCATCACAGAGAAATTACTAGAAAATTTAAAGGCTCATACCTGATTTACTATGAAGAACCCTGTAGAAATCCTGTTGGCAAGCGATCTAACCGAGCATAGCAACTCTTTTGAGTTGCAAGTCTATGAACCCAGGAACTTGATGGCATCTCAAACGTTAGTCAAATACACTGCCCCATTTCCTCTACCTGTCACACACACTCCTCCTCTACCTCTTTTCCTCCCACCTTCAGGAGATTTCACTCCAGTACACAGTGCTATACAGTTGAGAAGAAGGGTTATGTGTTAGATGTTAAAGCACATCATGCAGGAAGAATTCCTCGCCTGAAGGAACTGCTATATAAAATCCTACAGCACGTGATATTGTGGTGGGTCGACCTGGAGAGGCTGCCACCCACCCACCCACCTGCTCTCTCACCCACCCTCAACAGAATGGGAATGAGAAAATAAGATGAAAAAGCTCATGGGTTGAGATAAAGACAAGGAGATCACTTACCAACTACCTTCACGGGCAAAACAGACTCAACTTGGAAAAAAATATTTTCATTCATTGCAAATTAAAATTGGTTTGGATGGTGGAAAGACAAAAAACCTAAAGTACATTCTCCCCTAAAATACATTCTCCTCACCTCCTTTTATTACTCCTCTACCTCTCCCTACCCAAGTGGCACAAGGATGGGGATGAGGAGTTGTGGTTCTTCCATAACAGCTCCTCTCTGTCCCTCCTTCCTCCTCACACCTTCCCCACACGCGGGCCCTCCATGGCTGCAGTTCCTGTCAGGAGAACCAGCTCCCCCAGGGCCCATGGCCCCTGGAGCATCTCCTCCCTCCTCCCCCCCTGGCCCTGGCTCTCGCAGGGCTGTTTCTCACACTTTTCCCCTCACCACCCAGCAGCGTTTTGCCCTTTCCTAAAAACACTGTCCCCGAGGTGCCACCAGCCTCGCTGAGGGGCTCGGCTGTGCCCTGCGCTGGAACCAGCCGGAACCAGCTGTGTCCGGCTCGGGGCAGCCCCTCAGCTCTCCTCAGAGGGTCCCTGCAACCCCTGGCCATGGGCACCCAGCGCAGATACACCAGGAGCCAGACTGGTGGTTACACAGATACATTTTGGCCTTAAGATCTTGAAAAATTTAATCCCTTAGCACTTCAAACCATTGCCTGCTCTATCACCAAAGAACCCTGACGGAGTTAAATCTAGGCGAGAGGAGGATGAGCTGCAGCTAGGTTTTTCTTACTATCAGGGTAGAATAAACACAACCAGCCCAGCTCCCGTGCCTCACAATCATGAAAACAGGATTAAATTAAACTCCTTCAGACCTGCATCTTTAACAGAGCTATCAGCCACACAATAAAAAACCCCAAAGTGGTGTTTGTCGTGGTGTCACTGTGACACATCTGCGCTCTGCACAGGATCACTGCAACCCAGGCCTTCAGCTCCTGCCCTTCATTAGGTGTGATGGCAAACAGAGCCCTTTAAAAGCAAACTACAAAGTACAAGCAACAATATAATGAGGCTCTTCCTCCCATCATGCATCATTTTGTCATTTTAATTGACTGCGCCACAACCAAAAAAGCCTGGAGTAAAACCGACGTGCTGGGTGGTTCCTCCCATCAAAGGGAGCTGTGGAGAGCTCTTGCAGGAGATATTGTCACTTTGCTGCTGCCTCTTCCATACCAGCTCTGCTGAAAACTGGTTTAGCTGAGGCAAGAGGGTGGCACGGCACACACAAAGTGCCCTGAGCACCTGGAAAATGATCAGTCAGTCAAACCCCGATACTAATGATACTGGCTGCGTACTCCCTCCAATTAGACTCATGACAATGCTTCTAATAAAAAATAAAAAATAAAACATAAAAAAAAAAAGAATGAAACCCACCACACTCCATAACAAATCTTTTCTTATGCAATGTTTCAACATGTCACTCTGTCAAGCAAGCCTGTAGTTAGGAAGAAAATAAAAAGGTCTATAGGGACACGTCATCACGGCACTAAGTTTCATGTTAAACAAGCGCTGACAAAACACTGTGCAAATGGCTTCTTGTCAAAGGTGTGCCAGGTATTTGCAAGGCAAATCAACCAGCAATCTTCAGAAACCTCCCGTTTTCAGCATTGTTAGTGTTACTCATTCAGCAGAACCACAGACTTACCCCTTCCTACTCCCTTCTCTTCAAAATGTCACCTGTACATTTATGTAATAAAATTGGTGGATATTTTCTCCATCACTTATCGCAGAGTGGAAAGGCTCACTTTGCACGCTGCCATGATATGTTTCAGTTGAGAGGCTATAATGTCTCATCCTCACAAACTGCACAAAATATATTATTTACCTGAAACAAAAGGCTCTCGGGACCAAAAAAAAATGCATCATTTTGGGTGGGCTTTTCAGAAACACCTATATGATTTAGGGAACATAAGTCAACTTTCTCCCAAACTACTTGCTTTTAAAAAGGTGTTACATTTTTTTTTGAGGAAGAAAACAAAACATAATTCAAAATAAGTTTCAATGCTTCCTAATAAAGCACTGAAAATCCACAAAATATGGATACAACCACCCAGTATAATCAATAGTAATTAATCAGTAATGATTATTTAACTTTCCTGAACAACTACAAGCATTACTGAGTGCAAATAAGGTCACATGCACTCAGTAATAATGATCCAGACTAATCGAGAATAATGACTTTGAATAGTTGTCCATTACTTGGTGTTATTTAACAGTGCTGTATTTTCTGCTCACAGTCTTGCATTATTTAGATTGTATTTTGAACAGCGCTGGAGGCTACTTCTATTTAAAATTCTTCCTGGAACCACGACCTAAAAATGTAGTATTCTTTTCATTAGTTACAATTAGAACTGAGTAGAATTGAGAAAACTAAGTGCCTGGTGAGCACTATCACTTTTGTTCACACTCCATGACCAAGACAATAAATCTATTCAGGCTCATGATGAAGAAAGCCCTCACCAAGCCACCAGCAATAGACTTGAAAGCTTTATGAACACTTCTTCACCAGCCACTCAGTTAGTGCTACTGCTGGCAATTCAGAAAAGGGCAACTTCTGCAGAAATTCCAGGGAATGGAGAAGCAGCCTTCCTTTAATCTAGTCAGTTTGAGATAATAGTTACATCTCAGTCATGTGCAAAAGGAAACAGTTTGATCAGCCTCACTGTTTTTCTCAATTTTAAAGGCAGAAGTTTGGGAGATGAAGTTTGTAGAAGATGTGAGCTATTCCTCCCTGTGCTAGCCAGGCTGCTCCCCAGGATGGCATGAATTTCAGCCCTCAGTCCTCTGAGCAGGTGATGCGTTGTACTGACTTTTTCTTGGAGACTCCCATGGCTACCATCTTTCTGTCAGCTCAGGTGCTATATAACAGAGCTTCCTAAAAAGATATATTCCCTTTATTTTAACCAGAAGATTGACAAGGAATTGACTATGTTCATTCCATGTGGGAATTGGTAGATGAACTAGTTAATTTTCCTACACAGAAAAAAACCTTGTAATTTGAACTGTAATTGCAGAAAAATGTGCATTTGGGTTCATTGGCACTTGGGAATGTGCTGTCTTCCCTTCCTTGTTGGGCCTGGGGCATAAAGGGGCTCTCTAGAAGGTGACAGCTTGAGGGACAATTCAGGACGGGGATCACAAAGCAGTCGTTGGTCACTACAGCACTGCTTTTGCCACCTGGGTAAACAGGAATATTACAGTGCCGGTCACTACGCAGGTCGCTGAGGTGATGGGAACTCAGCTACAGAGGTCCCTCAGGAAGCCCACAGAGCTGCTGTGCCTAGAGGGATCTAGTTCTTTCTTTCCAGTTGCTTTCAGGACCTCTGTGTACACAAGGGCTCTCTCCTTGATGAGCTGCATTTGTTTTTTACGGTAAAGGTGTTTTTAATTATTATTTTTTTTAAGGTGTGGAGACTGACTAGCATGAATCCTACATTTATTGCTTTTCTTCTTTTAAAAGCTGAACAGATGGCCTATGAATTATAAAGAGGAGAATCCACTTTTGTCTTTAGTACATGGTCATGGAGCTTGGTTCCCCCTGCAGACTGGCAGGAAAGGTTATATAACTGTATTTAATGAGGAAAGCTGGAACACACACAGAACAATAGGTACCAATATCAAAGCTAGTAACTTGAGTTTTGATGTCAGAATCGATGGCTGAAAAGAATAAAAAGGAAGCATCTTCCAGGTGGATGAGGAAGATGCTGGAGGGCTTGCGGTGGTGATCTCGGTATTGTAAGGCCAGGTGAGAAAAGCTGTAAGCAAAGAACCTTGGAACCCTAATGAACCTGGCAGACTGCAGACAGCCCACTTTCCACGTGTAAAGGAAATACACCCATGGGTCTGAAAGTGGGTCTTTTAATAATTTGTCTTTTCTGAAAGGCTTCCAAAACATTAATTTTCCAGGGGAAGTTATTTCCAGTGGTTTCCATTTCTATAGATGGTAGCAGCAGTCATATGGGGAACAGGAAGAGGAAAGAAAAGCAACAATCATTCCGTAGTACAAAGAAAAAAAATGTCTTAAGTTTTCACACTGAAACTAAGATTTATAATTCTCTATTCAAGGGATGAGTTATAAACTGGGCCTACTCTCTTGACTGGAAACATGAAGAAGGGTTTAGCTTTGCCAGAGTTCACAAAGCAGTTTCCTTTGTTCTAATGGCAAGGCATTTGTAATCCCCAGGCCACCTGGAACTGGCTCTGAACCACAGACTGAAGCCAGCTCAGAATCCAATAGGATTTCCACAGGGAAAACCAACGGAGTTCAACAGGTCTCAAAACAAAAGCAAGCCAAATTGTGAGTTTGGCTTGACTTTGAAGCAAGGACAAGAGGGAAAAAGAGAGGATATAAAGAAAC